TTTTTTTTTTTTTTTTTCAGTGTTTCATTGTCTTAGTGGAGTGGTGGTACCATGAATGCAACCCACGGTCCGAGAGATTACGACCACCTATTCAAGCTTTTAATCATTGGAGATAGCGGTATGATTTTGCAACTTTTTACATCTTGTTCTTTTTAATTTACTGAAGATCTTTGTTTTAAAACGCAATTGTGGAGACCAGAAATTGCAGAATTGTTCATATGCCTTAGTAGATTTTTAGTTTAAACATCGTCATTTCTTGCTTGTCCATTGTTAACGATTAATAGAAAGTTTTAATCTTATCTAATCTGTTAAGCACAGTTAATTGAGATAATTCATTCATTTTTTTCTGTTAGTTCAATGCTGTTACCTTTGGGAAAATTAATTTTTTATCGCAATAACTTTTTGATTGTTGGTTGAATAGACATAGCCTTACCATTATTTTAAAATTTTTGCTTCATTGTTAATTCTTTTTGCTTAGGTATGCCAAATATTTCCCTTTTAAGACTTTTATTCTTAAGTATAGAAAAATGTTGCATTTCCTTAGTTGCTCTAGACAACCGCAAAAACGAACTTTCCAACTCGGTGCCTATTAGAAAATATCCAGAGTAAGATGCATAGAATTCTCTTTTTAAATGGGGTTCTAATGTGCTGAGTTACACTAGGGAAGTATTTTTTAGGACGAGTAAGAAGAGGGGAGAAGTTTGTTTTTTGTCATTTGGCTCAAGTTCAGAAAGAGTTAGCTGAGAACGATCCAGAAATAACCACATGGTAATTAGTGTTGGAGGTATTGGAAGAGACTGGTGCTGTTAAGAGACTGCTGAAGCGAAGAGCTAGGTGTTTATGTCGATAGAAGCTACTTGAAGTGTCAGAAGAGTAGAAGATAAAAAGAAGAAAGTTGTATTTTGTTTTGTAATGAGGAATCTTGTATTATAATTGAGGAGAGCCGACAATGTGGGCCAATAAAATTGCTGCACCACAAGCCTTTTTGAAATTAGAGCTGCATCCAAAAAAGTTAATGCTGTTTGTTTAGCGAAGTAGTGCTGAGGTTATACACTACGACTTCATGGAAAGTAGTGTATTTGTTACTAAACTTGTCTGTTGTCATGAAATAGATGTCGCGACAGGGAAGATGTGGCATTGGCACTCTGTTTTGATGAAAGAAGTAAGTTTTCAGAGTAGCCCTCGGCTTTCTGCGTTAGTGGCTCTTACAGAACTCAGATACTTAGTAAGTGGGGCTCTATTACTCTGTTGAACCTAAATATTACGGATATCGTTTGTTCCGAATCCTGGATGTATTTATGAGCGAGGAAAATTTCTTCGACTTGACGGCATCTGTAAATGTCTCTAGGGCTTTATGGAGTTATATAACCAGGAGTTCTGTGAAAGGCGTGTTTGTGATTTTCAGAGTGTTGGCAGAGTTGTATTCTCTATAATGCTGCCTATTCGAAGTTAACTTTAAGCAGGGGAACAGCAGTTTAAAAGTTTGAGTGTAGAGAGAGATGTTTTAATCACCACAATCTAATATATCGAATGCCTATGAATAATTAGAAAAACGTTAGTGGGGAAGTTGATAGGAATGCTACCGAATTGTTCTCGTGAGCTTCATTCGCCATATTTTTGAACTGTTTGAGTATTTCATTCTCATATCGTTTATGGAACAACTGACTGTTGAGAATTAAGTCCTAAACTATTTTGTTAACTAATCTATGTTGAAGTCTTTCTGCAGAATCAAAATTGAGAAAAATATCGTTTTTTTTTAGTTTAAGACTTACGAAGTTTTGACAAGGAGCTTTTTAAAATTCCATGGTGTTTCCAGCGGTTGAGAGCTTTTTTCAATGTTTGTATATCTATCTGAACTTATGATATTGGTTAATTTGGGTTTTTTAGGAGTAGGTAAAAGCAGTTTGTTGTTACGGTTTGCGGACAACACTTTCTCTCGTAAGTTTTCCTTGTCTTATTCACTTTTCTTCCTTATTCATAAAGCTTACTTGACCAGTTAATTTTTGGTCTTTCAGCTAACTATATCACAACGATAGGAGTTGATTTTAAAATACGCACGATTACGGTTAACGGACAACGGGTAAAGTTACAGATTTGGGATACTGCAGGCCAAGAAAGATTTCGGACAATCACTTCTACGTAGGTCTATCTTTTAAAGAAGTTCTGATAGTGATTTCATTTATAGTAACTATTTGAAGCTTAATGCAGTTTGCCATAAGAGACTACGTGTTTTTCGTTCGATGTTTAAGATGTTAGATTGTCTCTCTCGCTTAAAATGTGTTATTTTACAGGTATTACAGAGGAACGCATGGTGTCATTGTAGTTTATGATGTTACCAGTGGTGACTCATTCAGTAATGTTAAAAGATGGTTACATGAAATTGACACTAACTGCGATAACGTTCAAAAAATACTTGGTTTGTGCTTACTCAAGCTTGATCTTACCTTTGTTTTTTTTTATCGTGAGAGGTTGAAAATAATGTAGTGACAGAAGTATGATCGTAAAACCAAAATTATTTGTAGAGGTATTTATTTTTTAGGAGGTTCAAGAAAAATTTAATCGAATTGTCAGTTTTTCTTGAAATGTGTTTTTAGTTTGATGGAAAGTCGTACGAGCAAAAATCTTAGCTTAAAACGGTTCCTCTTTGAGCGTGCAGTGCTGCTGTTTTTGAATAGTAACTGGTGAAAAATTTAAACAAAGAATTCTAAGTTTTCAAATTATACTGAAACACTTTTTCATTGGAGTTCTTTAAATTTTTTAGTATTTTCTGTATTCGATTTATGAGGAGTTATAGTTTTTAGTGGGTAATAAGGCTGATGATCCCGATCGTCGAGTGGTTTTAGAAGTGGACGCAAAAAAGTTTGCTGAAACGATGGGTATTCAATTTTTTGAAACTTCTGCCAAGGAAAACATCAATGTTGAAGAGGTAAAGTTGGATAGTTCAGTCATTTGGTGCCTACTTCTTTTGTTTAAAATTTCTTCATGGATTTTCAGTTGAATGATGGTTTCAGATGCTGAGTTTTCGCTTTGGTCACGGTCGCTGAAAATTAAATTTAGTGTGTTTGTGGAGTTCTACATATTAGTATCGCTACTTTGTCAGATTTTTTTCTTGTACTCATTGGGTTGCTTTTGCGCCAACATTTTTGGAATTGGTGTTACTTTCAGTGCACTAAACATTTTTTCTTTCTTAGTTCTGCGTTGACTTTTAAATCGGATGAGCATTTTCCAATATATTTGTAAGGTTTTCGAAACGGGGTGATTGTTGGTTGTGGAGTGTAGTTTAGTTATACATCATGGTTGGTTTTATTAGGCGTTTGCTGGTACGTTATTGTGTATAGCATTCCTTCACTCATTTTAAGCCTTATTTTATTCATTATGTAGAATAATTTGGCATTGTGAAAAATTGCGTTATAGATGTTCAACTGCATAACCGGCTTGGTTTTGGATGCAAAATTACGGACGCCGCAGACGAACGCCAATGAACAAGGAGTTAGACTTGGGGCGGGTTCGCGACGTCAGGAAAAGAAAAAATGTTGCTGATTCGAATTCTGAAATCTTTTTTGCTTGGTATCACTTAAATTTTTCAATAGCTTCAGTTTCCAAAACGTTCAAAAATTTCATTCCTTTCTTTGTGTTACTCATAAGTTCTCTTAGTGATTTTTTTTATCGCGTATGCATTTTGGTACAAAAGGTAACTGTTTTGAGGTGATTATCAGGCTTCTTAAGAAATGTGGCAGAAGTGACTGTGTGTAGAATTCGTTGCTCAGTAGCTTTTGTGATTCTTTATAATTCGAGTTTCACTTACTGGTAGAAAGGAACAAATTTTTATTATGAATTTCTCTGCTTCCTAGTAAAATTTTTTTGTGTTTTTACAAAAAACAGTCGTGATCTTCTGTCGAAGCATAATCTTCTCGTATGTTCGAAAAAATTTATAGTTTGATTTTGTAAAGTCCCTTCTTCAGCATCAACCTATTGCTTTTCACATTTTTTCTATTTTACCGGCTTCTGACTGCCGTTACGGTAGTAAAGCTTTCGTTGAAGAAATCCCCGTTTTATTTTTGAGATGCGTGATATAGACTAAGTTTAAGCGCCTACTCCATTTTTCATTATTTTTTCCTCTTTATACGTTTCCAACACAAAAATCCTTTGCATTTATCAATGAGAAATTTAGTTTTAATGCTCCCTTCACCCTCTTTTAAACATTTAAGAAAAAATGTGTTCTTAAGTATTTTAAAAGATACAGGAGTGGATGCGTTTGCTTGATAAATTTTGAGGCATTTTCTTAATAATTATTCACGTGGTTTACCCTCCGACCGTTCACTTACATGAGCTTCCTGCTTCGAAACTGAAGCCTTATTTGGTTGGCTTATTGTGTAGGTTCACTACATTTTTTAGGTCGTATACATGACGTTGATTAAAGATTTACCGAAAATCATAGTGAAGTGCTCTAACTGCTTTTTGTCCTTTGTTTGCTGCTTGTACTCGCATCAGTTGTCTAATAATTTGATCCGTCGCTCAGCCATAGTTTCGCGGCCATTGTGTTTTTTTTTTTTTTTTTTGATTCTATTTAAAGACTGTGCTGGTTAATGTAATTTATTGGTCTCTTTTCTGCGTTAAGTGTTTTGAATTCTTTATTGCCAGTTTTAAAAATTTCCGTAGATTGTGCTGGGTATATTTGTCTTTTCATTTTATTCAGATCATAAGAGAAATGAATTCACAGCACCACAACACCTTGAGTCGTCTTTGTACCAAGGGACATTGTTTTGACTTTGCTTCGGCGACTACATACGTTTCATATGGATGAAACTCTTGTAGAGCTCACAATGGTGTTGTACTATGAAATGATCCACGAATTTTCGTTCGTTTTATTGCAGGTTCTTGTACAGTAACTCTTTGCAACTGAGCTTCTAATGATTTGGATAAGTTCAATAAAATTGATCGAAGGTTGTTATTAATCTCTTTATGACCGACAGCTAAGTGTCGCCGCAGGACAGAACTACAGGCATGCAATATCTGTAGTTTTTTTAGATTCCTCCTGAAGCACTGAACGCCACAAAGAGTTTTCGAAGCATGCCTCGCGTTTTCTGATGAATAACTTTCTAAAAATGGGGAACTCAACCGGAATTTTACAACCCAAGTTCCTTAGCAAGCGGGAGGTAAAAGTGGGTCGTACAAACCCGATAGGGTGCAAATAAGTGGCTGTGCATGCTGTCCCAATCCAGAAAGCAGATGTCATGTATAAAATCTAGCTCCACTAGGTCTCCTGATCTGTTGTAATCATCCCTTCTGGAACAGGGTCTTTGGACTGCTTATAACCAACGTAAGTGGTTACTTTATTCAGGTATGCTGATACACTAAAACAAGAAAAGGAAACGAAAAGAGTCCCAAGACTCATTTTAGCCGTATCTTGGCGGGTAGCTAGTACCCAATCTTTCCCAACATGAAATTTTTTACTTGGTATCAAAGACGAAGAGAACAAATGAAGACCACCAGAAGCAAAAACGGTTCAGAACTTCACTCATTCATTGCATCTTCATCTTCTTGAATCTTCGGTGCTAAAAAGAAACGAAGGTAGCTTGTGCCATCTTCATCAATGGGGTACTCCACTACAATTGGTAGCTCGTTAGTCAGTGAGAGTTTAACCTGCAATAAGGAAGCAGTTGCCGAAATATGAATAGTTAAATTGAAGTCAAGAGTGGTTAAGGCGAAATGGAAGACAAAATGCTGTTCGTTCATTTCGAAGAACATACCTTATTTGAAAGGTTAGTTGCCTTCGTAAAATGGTTCATATATTTGATTGAAAAGTTAACACACACAGGATCACTAACCTTTAGCAAAACCGACTAAAAAAGTTGAGGATAAAAGTCAATAGTGACTGTAAAAAATGCCTCTTTAACAGACCAGAAAACCAGAGTGTAATGAAATGAAACAATCAGAACTGAATTTTGAGCAGATTACAAATAAATAATAAATTACGTTCTCATCATCTGCGCTGCCAATAGGAGCGAAGTTAACAACGGAAGATCCTGTTTCGCCTTTGCCAGTAAACCCAACCCCAGCTTTCGTTGCTGTGATTGTTACCGTGTCCGAGAACATTGCTAGGTCTCGGCAAGTTTTCTAAGAAAGGAATGTAAAAATTTGGCTAGTAAGCAAAAAAGAGTTTCTGACAGAACGCACTCATGCTGCGCAGTTGGTTTCCGACAAGAGCAAAGTTTTCACTTGGTACGCAGTAAACGACTCACGAAAACAAAAGACGACAACGGTTACTTAAAATCCTTACTAACCAAAATCTCCACAGAACGCTTTCTGTTTTCTCAAACTTGGATCTAAAAAATCTTCATTTTACTGCCAGTTACTACCTACTATTCAAAAAACTGTGCGATTAAAAATTACACCTAGAAGAAAGAATACCTGGAAGTCAGATGATGGCATAGTAATGACAGCAGAATGTTCTTGTTCTGGAATTCCCAAATGCTCACTATCAATATCCATCATTCTTACAGTTACTTCTTGCGTCTTACCCTAAAAATCGTAAAGAATCAGTAACTGCTTTATCATATAATAGAGTATAAACCGTCGGAAAGTGGCGGTCATTCGCATTTTGCAAAACAGCGAAACAGACCGCATTGTGGACTCACTCGTTTGGTATCCTCAAAAGCAAAAACGACGTTGTCGTCCTCATCATAACGTATCATACATGTATCTTCATTATTAGCACACTTTAAAGCTTTAGCCATGTTAGTAAAACTCATTCCTAGGTTAATAGTTCGATCACACCTGTATGTTTCAAACAAAGTTGAAGCCAAATTTAATGATACCAAGGCTACGTGTGATGAATCCATCGCCTACAACGAAGAGAACAGGTCAAAAAGTTTTGGAATACAGTTAAATAGATGAGGAAACTTTAAAGCAGTGATTCACAAACCTGAAGAGATACTGCACTTTCAGTACAATCGAACGGAGCATCAGTAACAAGATCCTTTACTGCATCAACAATTTTCTTCAGTAAATTTGCATTAGCTAGTTTGGCTTCAAACATTGTTTACAGGCGGTATCTGAAACAGCCATACGAAAATGCAATTCATTCCCACGAACAGTTTACAGCCGTACCCAAGTGGACAATATACACGACAAAACATCCGTTAACTTGATAGCGTTGTTAAACAATTTAAAGAAAAGGAACAAGAAGTTACAATCAGGAACGATTAATCTTTCAAAAAGCTACTTACAAACAAAACATCTAGAACAAAAAATTTCGATGGCAGTTATGAAGAATTTGATAACCTGACATCTACGGTACTATGGCACATCTGTAAACCCTTTTCGTATTTTTGAATTTCGAGGGCTAGCGGGAAAATTGCCAGCCTCTGCAGCCTGACAGCGGCAAATCGCCTGCTACATAGATACTTCTTCTTTAAATTCGTCAATTTTTCGCGCCTTTACTAAAGTGCAGCTACTGCTGCTAAATCGATTGCAGTTGATTGATAAGGGCATCTATAAATTTCCTGGGGACACTGGTCACTGTTCGCATTTGCAGGTTTGCGATGTCTTATTCAAGATTGTTAGGCGAGTCGTTGGTATGGCAGCTAAAAAGCATTGGGATTTTAAGATTAAAACAAGTGAACGGGGAATATCGGTAAAAGAAAGCAAGATGATACTGCAGGTTGAGGATCAAGGTCGTTCTGGATGAAGTTCTCCACCGCTACAAATATGTGGTATACATTTTGAGAGAATGAATAATGACTATATGATGAAGTAACTGGAAAGAATTTCAATCAAAAATTAGATTCAGAGAAGTTCTGACCGACGTGGGAAAAATAAAGGAAGCAGGAAAAAATTTGTTAAAACTGCTCGAGTTGCCCAAATTGATGAAAGGCAGTTTAACGATGTCAATGTAAAACGTTGAACTCGTTTATTTAAGAGTTCCTTCTTTCTTTTTTTTCGCCTTAATTCAATGATAATTACTTGTAGTTCGTTGGGCAACCAATGTCTGTTTATGATTTTGTGTATTTGCAAATTTGTCATTTTACTGTACTGCTTTCTTGGCGTACAGAAAATTTCGCTTACGGCGGTACGGGTGGAAGGCAGATCTACTTGCAAAAAATGGAAGAAACCTTTCCATTCATGACGGGTAATTTTGGAAAAAAAACCATATCTATGTTTTTAAAGAAAATCGCAAACACATTTACATTATTCTGGTTTAGAATTAATGCCTTTTTCCAACAGTAAAAAACTGCCTCAAAGTGAGATGCTTTAGGAAAGACTTTATTGATCAGCAAAACAGTGAATCAATTGTTTACTTGATGTTTGAACAGTAGTGAATGAACTATTTACAGGCTTCGCTTCATTTTCAATGCAGAAGCTCCTTACAAACTATATTATTGCACTGTTAAGGATAGGTTTGCTGGACTTCTCTGGTTTTGAAAGTGCACTGAACATCAATGTTTATATCAGTGCAATAGATAACCGCTTTGCCGTGGTACTATTTATTTTTACTATATATTCTTTCTTTTACAAGTAATTTGATTATACTCGTATGGTAATGAAGAATTAACACTTTTAAAATCAGATTTACAAAGTCAGAACTGGTGCACTTTAAGTCAGATCAACGTTTTGGATGCAGCTACGGGCAGTTACCGACCACTAAAATACCTGTCATCAATAGTTTAGTAATTGTAACAGTAAAATCCTATCGACCATTGTGAACTTTTCCTAGCGTGAAGAATGTCCCGACATGTTCAGATAGGGCCATTCATGTACTGGTGAATGTTCTTTTTAAAGCAGTGTTATACTTTCTGTTACTACTCTACAGGTACTTTCAAATTTTCTGTAGTTCTGAAATACTACAAAAAGCAGCTGAGTTTACAGTTTCCTTTTCAAACAGCCTTGTTTCTTTCTCTTCACGTAAAGATATCCCTCTTATATAACAATAATTAGTTTATTTAGTGACTTTAATACGTGTAGTCATTGGATGGATACATATCATCCGGCCGTCAACGGGCAGACTTACTTCAACGGAAATTTACTACAGTGCTTCTTTCAATCTTTCCTCTTCTTTTCGCCTCAACAACAGTTACTGCAGTCCATAAAATCCTCGTAAGCTATATACAAGTAATGGCAAATGATTACTTTAATGATCAACTGTTTTGACAGTAATTTACAGTAATTTTGGCGAATCAAAATTCACAGCTACTTCTGACTGATGGCTTAAAGGGTTCCTCAACATCTGTTCACTCTTCTGCTTTTCTGATTTTGAATTGCTTTTTGTACCACTTACAAAACACTTCAGTAACAACAGGTGAAATTCAGTAATTAAAAATCAACAGCTCTCTACCGGACATGTGAAGTGTGAAAATAATTACAACAAGAGGATATCTGCATAAATAAATAAATATAATTTAATTTAATATATATTTATTTAAATGTAATTTTATTTATTCTTCTTGAAAATTTTTTTCTGATGAATAAAAGCCACTTAAGATTAATTAATTTTGTACGAATGACAAAAAGGAAGGAGCAAAAACTGACATTACGTACCGCATAAATACTGTTGTAACATTGGCACAAAACCATTTATCTTCCAAACTTTTTTAAGCTCATTTATTTGTTTATATATTTTTTACTCTGACTTCCTGAACACTAATATCTAAAGAATATGAAGCAGAAATGGGACAAAATATTGTTACTTTAATTACCTCAAAAAAAGCCTTAAGTTTTAAAACCTATACATTTCCTGTTTCCTCATCTTACTGAAAGAAGAAAAACGCTTATAACAGGCTAATCAACCTAGTAAATTCCCAAACCATGAGATCTATTCAGCAGTTAAAATGATTCAAAAAAAAACCCAGTGTCATGAGATTTGTACTTTTAAAACCGACACAACATATAAATGATTAAACGTTATTCCCAGTGACAATTCAAATATTTACACGACAATCGAGACCAATTGAAGAATTTGAGCATTATATAACTATATAAATATAAATATATATATTTATATTTATATATAAACTTTTTTGTCGACAGACTATGTAACTACGACGGCACAGTGTTATTTGAACAAAAAATATAATAATGAAGATAGAGAAAACAAAAAATGCATGAAAGTTGATGAAATAAAACAATTTCTCAGTTACTTTTAATATTCACTTAGATTTGTTGCAATTTTTATTTCTTTTTCTTCTTCTATCAGTTTGCCTGTGATAGGCTGCTATTTAGTAAGATCAGAATACCTTTTGACTGAAGGTAAAAAACCTTTAAAATGCCGTATTTGTTTAACCATATGAAACACACTAAAACAAACTGCTTATTTATTGGATTAGTAAAAAAAATTAATAAAAAAAATAAAAGAAATGAAGAAACAATTTTCCGTTCTGTTTTTGATATTAACAGCAGACGAAAAAAGCTGTCGATAAAGAACAAAGTTTATTGTGTAATTTTAGGAGAAATATAAAAATAAAAAAAGCACTAGTTTTTCGTTATTTTAACTGTGTGGATACTGCAAGTCTGTTATTTCTGTTGTTTTTGCCATTAAACAAAATAAAATTTGCTTTTTTAATGCATAAATTCTTAAAGATTAAGAAAAAAGTAACAACAAAACGTAGGAGCTAAGAGTGGAGAACAGAAGTAGAAAGAAAAAAGAAAGAATAAACGGAATAAACTGTTGATTGAATTCAAAATGATTTATTGAGATTTTTAAATTTTTCATAATTTTTTTTTACTTCTACAACAACTGTTTTACTTGATTAGTGATGAGCAGATTCCTTCTTCATCATTGCTGTTACGTTTTCTATAACTACGGGTTGGATTCAGAAAATACCAGAGGAGTTATGAGTGTTGCTTGACTGCAGACGATTGCACCAGAATGATGTGGGCCAAACGTTTGCCTTTACTGTTTCTTGTCATTTATACAACTGTTTTATTTGTTGAAGTTATTTCATGTAAGTCAATTTTTATTTATTCATTCATTTTTTTATCTTTCACAAGTTTTTTTCTTTGTAAACATCGCTAAATTTTTTGTGATTACTACTGAGACTAAAAACCGTTATTTCAGTGAGATGATAGTTAAGTGAAGAAGAGACGGATGTGAAATGGATGAAATGAGAAAAGAAAAAAGAAAATAAAAATTTTGAAGATTTTGAGTTAGAATTAACCAAAGAGTAATAGGTTCTTTATACAACTGAAATGTTTTTTTGACGCTATGACAAAAATTTCTGTTAAAACTTCGTAATCGATCATATAAAAAAATTTGATAAATCGTTTCGAAAAACTTTTCTGATTGATAAGTTTTAAAGTTGTTTCAAATTTGTTTTCTCAGCCTAGGAAAGTTTAGAAATTATTTTGACTAGATTTTTGTTGATTTTTTTGAGTGAACTGATTATAAATTGCCCGCTAAAAGGGATTCTTTTTTTATAGATTCTGTCATTCACCATGAAAATTCTACACTGGAAACAAATGGCAAAACTCCATTTATGGAAGTGGAAGCAGTTAGTGAACTGATATACATAACAGTTGACCCAGGTGAAAATATCTGCTCAACTTTTCTTAGTCGTTTGCTTTTCTTTTTTCTTTGTTATATCTTTGTGGGAGGAGAGGAGGACAAGAAGCGGAAAACAGACTGTAACCGGTGATCATCCGGCGGCAAATGGCTGCTGGAAAACTGAGATCCACGTGCTGAATGCTTAAAATAAATCTCAAAATTGGAGGTTTAACAGATTGTTGACTGAGTCCGAAAAATAAGTTGTTGTGAAAAAATTGATGTCAGCACTGACCTGTCGTAACAACTATTAAAATGTAATGTCAATTAATGTATTTAGCAAAGAGTCAAAAAAAAGTAAGAGAAAAAACTTGATCTATCTAAATGAAACAAATAATATGACATTTTAGAAAGCAGAAGCAAAAGCAAAAAAAAAGAAAAAAACCAAAAAAATTATGTTTCACCAATTTTCAAGAAATTATTTATCTTTAGTATCATTGAAACAAAACTGTATAGCAATGATTTTTGGAATAAAAAAAAAAAGTTGTAAGAAACTATTAAGAAAATATTAATTGTAAACGAGTTAATTTTTAAAAAAAAAACCACTAATTCTGGTCCTTTTTTCTGGATACAGGTGTCAATGATACTGCTCAACATTGGAAGGAAGTAACATCATCATTTGCGGTCAGCTACGGAAATCCAGAAAATAATTTTTTAAACGGTAAATTTATCCGACTGACAAATGGATAATTTAAAATTCTTCTCATTTTTTTCACCTTACCCCATTGTTGCAAAACAGTAAAGACAGTTAACAAACCTAAGAGATGGATGAAAAAAAAAAAAAAAGAGTAGATAAGAATTTTTGTGAAATAAAATTGCTTTTCACCAAATAAGTATTAGCTGTGTAGAAGCTGATGAAAATTTTTGGTAAACATCTTTATTAATTTTATTCCGCAGAAGAAAAAAAAAATCTGCTGGAAAACGTAGAAGAAAGGAGTCAAAATTAAACAACATCGACCAGTAATGATTGATAGTCGAGGAAAAAAAGATTCTGTTTTTTCCTAACTCATACAACCGATGGGCATTTAGAATTTCAGCCATCAGATATTGGTTAATTGCAGTTTTAAATCATATTTGAACTAACATTTTCTTTCTTTTTTTGTTTTATTTTTTTATTTTTCTTTTTTTGAATTGCTTTTAAACTTAAACTGATAATTGTAATCGATAGTTTTATGATGTTCATGGAATATCAGAGTTATATCTCAGAACATAGTTGACATCTCAGATGCGTTGACCTTTAATTAGAGACAATTACATAGGCTGAACATAAATTTGTTCTGAAAATAAAAAAACAAAAAATTGTGCTGTAAAAATAGCAAAACTCTCCAATTAATTGATTTTTTTTTTGATACAACGCAATTTTAAGCTTATTCGCTCAACATCACAAACGGTTTAACTGGAAAAATTTTATTTTCATCTGAAATAGCACGTTAAATTCCTGTCGTTCCACCACCTATCTATTCACACTTATTGACTGTTACTTAAATGAGCAGTTGAAAAAAAAAATGTATCATTACGAAATTCAAATAACGATAATTTTGGACACTGGCAAAAAGCAATCAAATGTAATATTAACCCATCCTTCAGTATTCCTCCTAATCTTGCAGTACTTTCCAGAACCAAAATTGATCCTAGTCATAGTAAGTACCTTAAAACCTCTACAGGAAAAAGCAAAGATGTTATG